GTATATATATATATATATATATATATATATATATATATATATATATATATATATTGCACATATCCATGTAATCGTTTTTACTGAAATAAATTATTTCGAACATTGAACCTTTTTTACGTCATAGTGTGTCGTTTTTCTTTACAGATAAAAAGATGATATCACAATTCTTGTTATCATGTTTGAGTAAGAGTTATTTCAAGATCAAAAATATTCACCAAATTCGAAGATCATTTCTGCAACAAAATATGACATTATGTTTTATTATAAATGTTTCATGCAAAACAAATTGAAAAATGTTCATTCAATAAATTTTTGCATGTTGCAATCTTAAAAAATGTATTCTATTGATATGTATTGTATCTTATCTTTGAAAGAAAACTGAAAGATATATCTGTAATATAAATATATATTAAATCCGACAAGAATATTAATAAAAAATTTCATTATATAGCTTATCCAATTATATGTAATTATTATAAAAACAATAATTTATCTTACCTCTGTTCTGTAATTAATCACTGATCATCTGAAAGGTGGAATAATGGGGATAACATTTTATTTATATTCCAAGTATGTTGAAAAGTTGTCCTGAAAAGGACAGTTTTGAATTTTTGTCCTGACAAGGACAGTTTGCTTGTATTGTTTCAACTGAGAAGATGCAGCGACGTCCGCGACTCATTTGCGGGTCCCTTTCGGGACCCTGAGGAATAATAGAAAGGATTATGCTGGAGAATCTGATTAAAATAGGATATGAAATATGTGAGGAAAAGATCGGAAAAGAAAAGAAAGGCGATTCTCTCGTGAAATATCTTGCAAATCTTGAAAGCCTGAAATCACATGTTAGGGTTCATAAATCAATGCAAAAAAACTTTTTCTTTTTTCTTCTTTCAAGGAGAGGAATAAAATAGGAAATAGGATAACTGAAAATTTCTTCTACTCCATCCTGATGGTTTCTTCTTCTTCTTACATGAACGGCAAGATGTTGATTCCGTCCTCCTCTCGAACACGTACAAACTTCTTGAAATAGCAACCTTTTACGCGAAACTCGTCAGACAAGTCCGCAAGTCATCTTCTTCTCTTGTTTCTCTCTTATCTCCGTCATCAAAGATCTTCCTGCGATTTGCTCCTGCATTTATCTCAGCTACTTCACTTCTCTTTTCTTTCCTCTAAGTTTCTTTAACAATTTATATGAATACGTGCGTCTC